ATGCTTTCGGGCATTACCACCCAGATAGCCCTTGCTCTCAGGGGTCCATCAGAATTTTGATTATCTCAAACAGATGTGATTTGAGTGAGATAGGAGCAAAATACTATATATCAGGTGAATTTCAGCATTGGAAGTTCAATGCTTTCAATGATTTTGATGTCGGGCCTCAATGCTTTCAGGCATTGATATGCAGATAGCCTTCACTCTCAGGGGTCCTTCAGAATTTGGATCATATTTTCGCATCAGGAGTTTGATGCTTTCAATGATTTCAATGTGAGGCCTAGATGACTGTGTTCATTGACATGTAGATAGCCCTTAATGTCAGGAGTGTCACAGAATTCATATGGCCTCACATGGACATATGAGGTAATGTAGGACATTCTCAACACATCAGGAGACACATAAAAACACATCATAAGGCACTACATCATGTCTTCAATAGTCATACCTATGTGTAGTATGATAGTGTGATCTTTAATATACTGTTCAGGCTGACACTCATCAAGTATCACAGGTCTATTGTACAGACTTAGAATAAAATACAGTAGTCTTAACTTGATAGTCATTACACGATAGTCTTCACTTGATAGTCTAATATGATTGTTGATTACTACATAATACATAAGCTGTGAGGGTTAGGATTATTATGGAAGATATGACAGTCATGGTTATTAAGAAAGCTTATATTATGCCTAGCAAGTTAAGACTATTGAGTTAAGACAATCATATCCTTAGTCTAGTAAGCACTGTCAAAGCTTGTGACCTTCTGGTAACCGTGTGGCAAAATCATATTTTGCTGATGTATATATCTTGTGATTGTAACTTTCTTGCACCAGTGCACAGTGATTGCCTTGAATTTCGAGTTTTTTGTATTTAGAGATACATACCACTGACAGATACTGTTTCAGGGACTGGAACAGTACACTGGAAGCCAATCTATCATATTATACATAGGTGTGATCATAGCAAACCTGATGCAGTCCCTGATGATGTGTTTTTATGTTTCTCCTGATGTTTTAGAATTTTTCCCACACAAGGCTGACAACAAAAACATTGAACCTGCGAAGCTCAGACACACCCAATAAATTGTATTTTGCTCATATCTCCCTCAAATCATGTCTGTTTGAGGCAAAATATGATCCCCAACATCCCTTCGATAGTATATGCAATATATAAGGATACTAGGACAACAGGATTTATTCCTGTTGTGCTATGTGCTTACCCTTGGTGCAAGGCCTGACATCAAAAATCACCCGATATGTAATATTTTGCTCATATCTCACTCAAGTCTTATCCGTGTGAGACGATCTGAATTGTGACAGGCCCCTGAGATCAAGTTCTATCTGCTTGTGAATGCCTGAATGCATTGAGGCTAGACATTGCAAACATGGAAAGCATTGACCTTACAATGCTGAAATACACACAGTATATGGGATTTTGCTCATATCTCACTCAACTCTTATCCATTTGGGATGGGCTAAATTCTGCCAGACCCGTGAGATCTAGGGCTATCTGCATGTCAATGCCTGAAGGCATCGAGGCTTGATATCAATAACATCAAAAGCATCAAACTTCTGATGGTGAAATTCACTTGGTATATAGTATTTTGCTCATATCTCACTCAAATCACATCCGTTTAAGATGATCTAAATTCTGATGGGCCCCTGAGAGCGTGGGCTATCTGGATGTTAATACCCGAAGGCCTCGGGGCACTCGGCACTCGGAACTCGGCACTTGGCACTCGGAACTCGGAACTCAAAACTCAGCACTCAGCACTCGGTAGTCAGTATATACATAGTATGGTGCAAATATCTCACTCAAATTATATCTGTTTGAGACAATGTGAATTCTGCCACACCCCTGAGATTGAGGGCTATCTACATGTCATGCCTGAAAGCATCAAGACCCGACATCAATAACATCGAAAGCATCGAACTTCTGATGCCAACATTCACCCGGCATATAGTATTCTGTTCATATCTCACTCAAATCACATCCGTTTGAGATGATCTCAATTCTGACGGGTCCCTGAGAGCGAGGGCTATCTGGGTGTTAATACCCGAAAGCATCAGGGCACTCGGAACTCGGAACTCGGAACTCGGCACTCGGCACTCAGCACACAGCAGAAAGCTTGATTGCAACACTGAAGGCACTGAGGTGGATGAGGGAACACCTCCTGACAGTGATTGAATGCCTGAACGCATCAGGGCACTCAGCACGCAGCACTCGGCACTCGGCACTCAGCACTCGGAACTCAGAACTCAGAACTCAGCACTTGGCACTCAACACTCGGGACTCATTCACCCTGTATCTTGGATTGTGCATATATCTCACTCAAATCATATCTATTTAAGACTATCTAAATTCTGATGAATCCCTGAGATCTAGGGCTATCTGCATGTCAATGCCCGAAAGCATCAAGAGCCGACATTAAAAACATCGAAAGCATCGAACTTCTGATGCCAAAATTCACCCGGTATATAGTATTTTATTCATATCTCACTCAAATCACATCCGTTTGAGATGATCTAAATTCTGACGGGTCCCTGAGAGCGAGGGCTATCTGGGTGTTAATACCCGAAAGCATCGGGGCACTCGGCACTCGGAACTCGGCACTCGGAACTCGGCACTCGGAACTCGGCACTCAGCACTCGGTAGTCAGTATATACATAGTATTTTGCAAATATCTCACTCAAATTATATCCATTTGAGACAATGTAAATTCCGCCACACCCCTGAGATCAAGGGCTATCTACATGTTAATGCCCGAAAGCATCAAGACCCGACATCAAAAACATCGAAAGCATCGAACTTCTGATGCCAAAATTCACCCGGTATATAGTATTTTGTTCATATCTCACTCAAATCTCATCCGTTTGAGATGATCTACATTCTGACAGGTCCCTGAGAGCGAGGGCTATCTGGGTGTCAATACCCGAAAGCATCGAGGCCCTCGGCACTCGGAACTCGGCACTCAGAACTCGGCACTTGGAACTCGGCACTTGGCACTCGGAACTATCTAAATTCTGACAGGCCCCTGAGAGTGAGGGCTATCTGGGTGTTAATGCCCGAAAGCATTGGGGCACTCGGCACTCGGCACTCGGCACTCAGCACTCGGCACTCGGCACTCAGAACTTGGTTCTCGGCACTTGGCACTTGGCACTCAGCACTCGGTAGTTAGTGTGTGGTATTTTGCATATATCTCACTCAAATTATATCTGTTTCAGACAATCTAAATTTGCCACACCCCTGAGATTGAGGGCTATCTACATGTTACTGCCCGAAAGCATCAAGACCCACATCAAAAACATCGAAAGCATCAAACTTCCAATGCTGAAATTCACCCGATATGTAGTATTTTGCTCATATCTCACTCAAATCTCATCCGTTTGAGATGATCTACATTCTGACAGGTCCCTGAGAGCGAGGGCTATCTGGGTGTCAATACCCGAAAGCATCGAGGCCCTCGGCACTCGGAAACTCGGCACTCAGAACTCGGCACTTGGAACTCGGCACTTGGCACTCGGAAACTATCTAAATTCTGACAGGCCCCTGAGAGTGAGGGCTATCTGGGTGTTAATGCCCGAAAGCATTGGGGCACTCGGCACTCGGCACTCGGCACTCAGCACTCGGCACTCGGCACTCAGAACTTGGTTCTCGGCACTTGGCACTTGGCACTCAGCACTCGGTAGTTAGTGTGTGGTATTTTGCATATATCTCACTCAAATTATATCTGTTTCAGACAATCTAAATTTGCCACACCCCTGAGATTGAGGGCTATCTACATGTTACTGCCCGAAAGCATCAAGACCCGACATCAAAAACATCGAAAGCATCAAACTTCCAATGCTGAAATTCACCCGATATGTAGTATTTTGCTCATATCTCACTCAAATCACATTTGTTTGAGATGATCTAAATTCTGACGGGCCCCTGAGAGCGAGGGCTATCTGGGTGTTAATACCCGAAAGCATCGGGGCACTTGGCACTCGGAACTCGGAACTCGGAACTCGGAACTTGGAACTCAACACTTAGTGCTCAGCACTTGGTAGTCAGTATATTTTATTTTGCACCTTTCCCAAGTACATACCCTTAATTTCAGAATGAAGTCCAGATGAAATCCAATGAAGTCCGAAGGACTTCCGGAGACTGGCTACTCTGATGGAGTGCTGGAGGACTTCTGGATGAGCACAGGAACCTTCCGGAGGAGTATAGAAACTTCTAGAGAAGTACAGGAAACTCTGGAGGAGTTTCACCTGCTGCATAGGGTCCGAAGATAAGACTTCTGAAGGTAAGCTTCCTAGATGGAAGCACATGGAGGAGAGACTGCAAGGGACAGAGTCCAAAGCAGGATCAGATAGGAGGAGTGGTCCAGAGGACAGGATGTCTGAAGGTTGCGCCATCTGAATGTTCAGATGTCCAAAGGTTACAATGTCCAAAGGTTTTGATATCTGAAGGGTAAGATGTCTGGAGATCCAAAGGTCCAGAGATCCAAAGGTCTGGAGGTCAGCAGGAGTGGACAGGATTATAGGACAGGAGAATAAAGGCTACCATGGACAAGGTCTGGAGTAGAAGCAAACAGAGGTAGGCTACACTTAGGTGGAGTCGGAGATAACAGGAAGTAGACATAAGTCTTGGAAAGACAGGAAGTGCCAGAAAGGCAAAGGTCCAGCTTAAGGAATCAATCCTTAAGCTTGGATAGAGATGGAAGGACAAATCCAAAGGTTTGGAAGTCCAGCCTAAGGAATCCTTCAGGTTGGACTCGGATCTCAGTACACTTCACTTGATTTTTGATATCTGGGACTCCATAGTCGGAACTTGAGTCTTGAATCTCGGGTGTCAGGTGTCGGTTGTCGGGTGTTGGGTGTTGGGTGTTGGGTGTTGGGTGTTGGGTGTCAGGTGTTGGGTCTCGATGGTCGGGACTCAATATTTGGGACTCGTTGGTCGGGACTTGATACTCGATTGTTGGGATTTAATGGTCGGGCATTGGGTTTCAGGACTCAAATCTCGGGCTTTGGGACTCGGGTTTCAAGACTCGGTAGTTGGGACTCAATGGTCGATTGTCGGGATTTGATAGTCAGGGCTCGGATATTGGTACACTTCACTTGATTTTCAGGTAGTTGGAACTTGGCATTTGGCATTTGGTAGGCTTGGATGATGTTGGCTTTCAAAGATCTATTATCATATATTGCTCAATGAAATACCAGACGATTCGGAAGTGTGCTGGACATCACATATTCATTTGTCGAGACCCGGGTCTCGGAACTCGGTACACTTCGCTCGAGTTTCCACTTCACCCCTTTGCAAAGGCTCCATGCCATACTACATCATTAGATGACTTTGAATTATTACCTCCATGATATACAACTAGCTGAGCTCCATCATGTCTACAATTATCATTCTCCTGGGCCCACCCGTTTATATTATATACCCCTACGTCGGCCTACCCGTCTATGCAATATATGTCTACCATTGGCCCACCCGTATATAATAAATCTTTCACCGCTCCCTCGGCCCACTCAGTCTACAAAATAATACCAATACGTCGGCCCACCTGTCTACAAAATAATATTAATTCGTCGGCCCACCCGTCTAATATGATATATATCTGGGCCCACCTGTCTATGTGATAACAAGCACCCTTGATATACCCGGCTATTTGATACATATCTACCTTGGTACACCCATCTACATAATATCCAACTACCTCGGCCGATCCTGTCTATTGAAAATTCATGTCCATCGGCCCACCCATCCACTTTACATATTCCCCACCTGGGCCAACCCGTCTCCATCGGGAATAATAACACTCCCGGCCCATCCGTCACAGTCGAGGATATATCTACCTTCGGCCCATGGTCCGCTGGCCCGTATCATACGGGATATTATGCACGTCCGTTCACTCGTATAATACGGAGATATGTTACTGCAATATGTGATTATGTACTGTGTAAATTGTCCATCATCAATTGCAAGATTGATTCACAGTGAGACCCAGGTCCATCCATCGATTCGGATTGCTCCAACACACTGGCGCATATTGGTGCCAATATATCTGCCTCATGATGGCCCATTACAACCGACTCTCTTCAGTTCCCATAGCTTATATCCAGGTATTACAGCCCACCAATCAGTTGTCCAAGTGCAGGTGCAGCATCGTTGAGATGGATACGCAGGATATCGGGTCCACAGTAAATGGCCATCCGCCGGGCTCGGGTGCCACAGCCTACCCATCATTAATGGAGGACGTGCCTGTCAACCTCGGATACACAGGCCCAACCATTGTTGGTAAGGACCTGGGTATTGGTGGGATCCATATCTGGGCCCATCCGCCGAGCCTCGGATATAAAGGCCCAACCATCATTGGTAAGGACCTAGGTATCGGTGGGATCCATATCTGGGCCCATCCGCCGGTACCGGATATGATGACCTGCCAAGCATTGGAGGGGATGAGGTTTGGTTCTCAGCCCATCCGCCGGGTTTCGGATACAAAGGCCCAACCATCGTTGATAAGGACCTGGGTATTGGTGGGATTTATATCTCGGCCCATCCGCCGGTACCGGGTATGCATGCTCAGGTTAGACGCCAGCTTTTCAGATATGCAACAATCAATCCAAAATCAGATGTGAAGACGATGCGGATGTGATGAGCATAGCCTGCAGTCCTAATTCAAAATCGATGCCTATGGTAAGTATGCCGAATACCGTTGCACAAGACATTGAATGATCCCAGCAGAACATCACTTTGTGTTGAACTTGCACAAGTAGTCAGTTGGTTCATCTACTGCAGCTATATCGCAGCCAAGTAATGCCATGTAAGGACCGCAAAATTAACGCAATATAAATTACATGACACTGGTGAACTACTGTAGAGCTGGTCGGAAGGAGGAAAGAAATATAGCCATATGTCATGTGACTCATTTTGGATGATCCCCGGATGAGAATGCATTCCGCACAGGGTAGAACACAACTCGCCCACATAAATGGATAGATGCGTCAATAGGACTTTGGTAGGCATCAGACGGGAGGACTCCTTCTCTATAAGGAGAGTACAACCTACCTCTTGCTCATCGAATCCCCAAACCCTTGTATTCCACAATGTGCATCCTGCATTCATATCCGGTGTAGTTCAAACATGACGAAGACAAACTTATGTGATATGGTAGATAGCGCATCGGAAAGTTTGAGAAGATGCTATAGAATCGACTGGAGATGGGATGGACCCACAAACAACAATCCGGGGTCAGATGATCAGGATGACTGCGGATGGCAGGATCCGATGTAGATATTCTTACCATGACAAATACATAGTCAAGATTGCCCCCCAATGCAAGAACGGGAGTGAGAGTCATGATGGCATATACAAGATGCACAGCTGACGTCTCAACAATGGCGAGTACTGCAAGCAAAATGTTACTTTCCATTATGCATCTTATGAGAGTGTCCGGTAGTATGAAATTGCTACAACAATGTGATACATAACCTTCAAACAGGTCTTACATGAACCAGTCATCATCTGCAGCGCCAAGCTAGGGCGGTAGAAGTGGTTGCGATAGCAACCGAAAATGAACTACAACGTGCAGTACCGAACAAAATCTGCCTGATTGTACTGTGCTAGGTGGTATGTCGCAAAGTCGGCTAGATTGTATTTTGCGTACTCTGTGCATGGGGTCCGAGCATAATTATGCACACTATCACGCATAAACCAAGACCAAACAATTCTGTCGCCCTTGTTAACCTGAACCCCGTGCCTCACAAGGTGGCCAGAATAGCTCACCATGACTCCCGGATCATAAGCCAGGTCGATGCCCAAGTTGGTTAGGTGCATCACGCCATGGTCATAGCCTCCTATACAAGTGAGGATATCAAAGCCTTCTGGGGGGCATTTCGGATCACGATGACTGGGTGACTTCCTGTTACAAATAATTGCCGCGCCAGTATAGACGGATGTCCAGTGCTCAAGAAATGTGCACATGTCATCCAGTCCTTGTGTGGCCGCCCAATTCCCAAGCTCTACTTGGGTGGATATTGATGCTACATATAACTTTGGGTGCATCACGCGAAGGGCGGCCGATGATACAAGGCCCGGACGCTGCGTGTCTGTGATGACCGACAGGCTCCTACCGCCCTTCAAGGTGGCGGAGACTTCCGGCATAAAACCATCTTCGGTGTTCACAGGCGGGGTCCATGGGACTGTTTTATGTGAGACATGTCTTCAGTATGTAAAATTTAAACAAACCTCATGCCCCTGTTGAAAGCAGCAAGGCGAGATATTGATGCACCCGGGAGTCAACTGTGGCTCTTGGGCGTCATAAAAATTGGATGTGTGAGTCCTCCATTTACTCGCCGCACCCGTGGATGTCTTCCCGGTTGTGATGCTTCGTTTCGATAGGTCGCCCATTCTGACCGTGGCATTGTACATATCACACTGGGTCCTCCCGATCAGCATCATACAGTTCCAACGCTAGCCTGCACTGACCTGCAAAGACCAGTTGAGTGCACCTGGGAGGTACCATGGAATTACCCAGTGGCCAGAATCGATCACAACCGACGGGCGATCCAACACCAAGCGTTTGGTGGGGGGAAAACTTTGCCAATAACTCCGCTTCGTGAGCATCATTCAGTCCCGACTCCTGTTTGTCCAATGCCTCATTGTACCAGATGATGTCCATGTCCAGTTTTACTGCAAACATTACAATTGGCCGCCATGGAACATATATAGTTGAACGTACTGGGGTGTTGATACGCTTCCGCCAGCACTAAGGCCAACTGTCCACAAACAACTATAGTTTCCGGGTCAAGTTGGGGCGGTGCGGGCAGTAGTGGTCTACCGGCGATATGAGCTTTAAACTGATTCTCAACCCATTCGCTTGCTATATCGGTCACATTGAGGGCCCAATGCCGGAGGATGTACAATGTTGGACGACTGCCCAGGTCAATGGCACCAAGCTGTTCATGGTAGGATTCCCAGTACTCAGGCGATATCATGTTGCAAAGAGAGAAAGGCGTGGGTCATGTTCAATGCAGCGTGCGTCTTAAATGCAATTTGACATCCGGCAGACATCTTCATGATGTAACAGCGTTTCTAATATATCTGGATGGATCATGCTATTACATGCAACAGACAGGAGGCTACACTGAGATATACTAATGTAAAAGCTGTTCATTAATGTTTGTACATAACATCAACACGGAAGTCGTGCTGGATGGGGAAATGGTTCGATGGATGGAGATGCTCCTAGCCAGCCATTGTCGTAATCCTCTTGCAACACTGCAACTGCTGCGTGGGAGGCTTCCATTGCCTCACGAAGCTCATCCACAGGATCCTCTAGACGATTGAATGCAGCCACCGCCTCAGTCATGGCATCCAGCTTATCAACAAGGACTCGGGTGAGTTCCATACCAAGGCGCGCAACTTCGGCCCTGAGGACTTGCAACTGTTGCATGAGCGGATCGTCACTGTGGGTGTGTGTAATTGGTCTCGGCACCATAAGGGCCATTCTGGGCTGATAAACGCAATATTAATACCGATGATGTCATGTTCTAAACACAATCACTCACCCCGCTGAGCGAAGTGGGCAGCCACCAGCTGCTTCACCTCAGCAACTGATATCTGCAAAGGCATGTTGAACGGCAAAAGGTCAAACCGGTGCTCCCACCAAGCGTGTTTGTACTTGGGGACCACCCGATTGATGTCAACCGGATGGGTCACCGATTGATGCGGGCATGCCTTATATGCGGCGAAGAATTTGCTGTGATCATACGGCTCGGTCTGGCAAGATGTAATGAGAAGGAGGACCTCACTCAGATACAGCGGCATGGTCATGGAGATATTCATGGCGGCGCACATGTTGACGGAGGGGGTTACAAAATGCTACCGATCCCAATCAGTAAATCCCACCTAAAAACGATTACACACACCCACCTCCGCTTCCCAGACCATGTATCTCACGAATGAGAACTGATAGGAGTTAGAGTGATCGATGTCATCTTCAAGTACTGCGATACGGATGGCAGTTAACCTGGAAGTGGCATATTCAAATATGTTCGCCACATCCCAGATAGAAAATGCACTGGCTGCAGACTTAGGCAGAGTTCGGCGATCATCGGCCATGATGGGTTGCAGTAAGATTGCAGGTGAAGCCAGCTCGGACACTGTTGAATTATATAGTTGGAGCTTCAAAAGCATTATTGTGGTGGCTTTTGATGACAAGCTCGATCCGGTAATGTGGCCATCGGTGATAGCAGATTCTGAACTGATTCTTAACGCTAAATACCCAAACAATGACACCAGATGGATTGTACGCATTATGGATCACAGATGTGTGACTATAGTGCATGTGGACTGTTTACGACATCGCTGGTCTGTGAACAACATGATATTCTCGGGCAACAAGAAATTGGCCAGAATGTTGGACGTGCCTGATGTGATGCAAGTGTTTGGTGCACATTTCCTGGCCGAATTGAAAATACTTGTGCCACTCCAGGAGTGCATCTCCATTGGATGTCAACCTTGGTCAACAACAGACTCGCATTGAATAGGAAAATCTATTTCAAGTGTGACAAGAAGGAGTGCTTCCACCGATCAGTCACCCAATGCTGTCGGAAGAAGCCAATGGACCCTATACATTGCGGTCTCTAAGTGGTGTTAGAATGGGCTTGGCAGGCAAGTCACATTTGATTTTTTAGGAGGCGCCGGCAATGTCTTAATGACTTCGCTGTCACTTCCAGCTGCTCTGGTGATACAGGTTGGTTTATACAGAACATAGCACTTGACTTGACGTCGATGCACATGCCGGACGCCAATCCACAGTATGATCTCTATCCGGGACCGAATGGTCAAGTAAAGGTGAACCTTCACCCGATGCAAGAAATACTTCTGATATATTTCTCACTTCCAGTGCTTGGATCTGGTATGATGATCTGGACTTTGTCAACATAGTTTGTGGTATAATACATCGGGCTATGGTGGCATATTGGCCCAGCGGATGTAGCATGGGAAAGGTGACACATGGGCCCATTGAAAGTAGCCTAGGAAGGGATGGGCCTGGCTAATTGAGTCTCGGAAGGGCCATGGATGGGCTTGGAATGTAGTGTCACAATTCAGACGGATGGGCCCAGCGGATGTAGTATCAGAAAAGTGACGGATGGGCCAATTCAACATAGCATCGGAGGGGATGGGCTCAGAATGTGGTCTGGCAATGCTGCCGGATGGGCCCGTCAAACGTAGCCTCGGTAGGATGGCCCCAGAGAACGTAGTATCGACGTGATGAATGAGCCCATGAAATATTGTAGCATTAGTGAGCTTACCGGTTAGATGGCCATTCCGGAAACCCTTCAATTCCCAGTCAGTGCATTCCACATGCATATCCCATGTCCTGCACAATGATGCGCTGACTCAGACAGCTATACACAGGTGAACTCATTCCGACATTGTCATCTGATACAGGCGTGCATAGCATGTTCGCACTGCATCGCAATTATTCCAGCAACAGAAATGAACGTGTTTGGCAAGCCCCACCAAATGATGTGAGTGTTTGAAAAACATACCACATCGGATAGCATATGTAACTAATAACTCCTGATATGTTTCATGTATGAAATGAGCTAGGTGATTCGGCAATAGTGCCGGAAGGTCAGAGTTCTTGAATCTTGATTGTTCAGTTCCGTATGGCCATTGCTTTGGATTGATTACAGGCGCGGTAGCTGGCCATATGTTGCTTCAAAATCGGAATCATGTAAGCACTAAAGAGCGGGACGCGTATCATCTTCTCAACAAATGCGTGCGGGCGTGAGTGCAGAAAGGATTAATATGTTCCGATGAAACAGCAATGTGACGGAAAATGAAGATCCAACAGAGGCTATGGGAGCTGAGAACCAAGGTGGAAAGCTGACCGGAGGTACCTAATACTTATTCTCCGCGCGGGGCTTCCCTGAGCTGCTTTCCGAGGAGGCATTCTCAGCATGCCGTTCCTTCTACAGGTTTTGGAAGCCACCAAGCGAAGCTTGTTGAGTCTTGTTGAACTTCTTCCGGATCATTTCAGCGCTGCCGCCACCAGCGTGGCCCTTCACAGCAATCTAGTGGAGCTCAGTAACAAGACTGGTCGTTTGCTCCTTTTTGGCAGCGTCAAGCTGGTCCTTCAACTCATTGCTGGGAGCTAGAGCAGACAGCCTTCTGTGGTTGCTTTCCTCCAAAAGCCTCAAGTACACTGGATCCCTCCTGGTGACTGGTTGGACAACGAGTATGACATATGAAAGGATGAACATCCATTCAGATACCTTCCGAAAACTGTCCGCAGGGACATATGTAATCCCACTATTTGGCATGGAACCCGCACCTTCCAAACTGAGACATCAATTCAAGGCACACCAGCCGGCAGAACATCTCTTTGTATTGAACCAGCATACAAAGTTGGTAGGGTGACTACTGAATATGACACCAAAGTACAAGTGAGAACATAAAGTAAAAGTACATGAAGCATCATTATGTCCATCCGGATATCTGAGGATCTACTTCTCAGATATGACTGACGGTGCCCTGGAAACTTGGGAAGGTGCAGTTGAATTGGCGGGAGGAACTGAAGCCTCTGGAGCTTTGGAATTGGTCCAGCTGATGTGGATGCCCCAACATCATTCACTTCTTCATCACCGACGGCATTGTGGAGCCGTCCCGGGAGTTTGGCACTCAGGTGCTGAGGAGGGACATCCGCAGGAGGATTCAGCGGAAGACGATGGGATTCCGCATCATCTTGGTGTTTGCGGAGTGAATCCGCCAGATGTCCGACCGAGGACAACATTGATTTCCACTGAGCATCTGAGGCATTGAGGCATTGAGGCATTGAGGCATTGAGGCATTGAGGCATTGAGGCATTGAGGCATTGAGGCATTGAGGCATTGAGGTGTTGCTCCAGGATCCTCAACCGCTCACCTAACATCTCCTCCGCCGAACTTACTCTTGCTTCCAACCCGTCTAGTCGCTCATTGGTGGCGAGCGTATCAAACTTCTTGCTGAGGTCCTATATGCCCTTAAAAATGTCTCTTGCCGTTGGCTCAGCATCCGGGTTGCCATCGGATGCGAGTTGTTGGCCTTGGCCAAACAGTTGGACCGGCTTGGATGCATTTGACATTTGGGTTGGTTGCTTGGCATCCGAGTCTGGTAATAATGAGCTCAATGCGCATATTCTGAGCACCGGACTTACCTTCATGTTTAAGAGTTTGCTTGTTGGCTATTTTTACTGGATGCCTGCTCACAGCTCGGGACTTTGAGCGTTTCACTGGATTGGCAGCTGCTTCCGCTGCCTTGGTTTTCACCTGGGCTTGCGACCTCTCCCTGACTCCAACGCTGTTGATCGCACACGTGGTCTTCTTGCTATCGCAATTGGCACAGGCAAGTCACGTGCGTCTGAACTTTTTGTCCGGGAGGACAAGGCACGGTATGTTCAACTTAGTGCATTTGTCACACTTCCGTGGGTGGTGGCGAATGGAATGCTATAAGTTTATTAATATTTTCTGGCGTCTGCAAGCTGATGGACTTACCTCTACCGCGGTGGCAATGGTGGAATCCAAGCCCCAATCGGCAGGCTGTAAGAACATAAGTCCAAAAGCTGCATTACACCAGAGCAAAAAATTACTCACCTGACTCTCTGCGTCCCAGAAACCCCTGTCTTCAGCCATGTCCAATGTGCCCTGTGCTTCCGATGCCATCATGTTGTCTGTGGCGACCGGCAAGAATGCCTCCATGGGCTATGTGAGTGAATGTATCAGTTAGGGTTGTGCTGGAGCGGATGGTCAATCTTACCTTGGCGGCACCATCCTTCTTTCGCTTGGGCATAGACTTCCGGGTCTCCATGTCATCCGTACTGTCGTCAGCTGCCTTTCGCTTTTTACCGGTGTTACCTGGAACAAATATTTTGAATTTGGCTGGCTGAGCAGCAGGGGGAGGCGACAGAGGAGGAGGGGGTGAGAGCTTCCAGTGAAGCACATCTTGGAGACAGTGACCGCGGAACAAGTTCAGCCTCCGGCGTGTCTGTCTTCACGATGACAGCTTCACTAGGAGGTGTTGGTCCGGTGGGCGGAACGTCAACAGCAGAAGGAATGTAGTTGACTGTCTTCTGGAAGCGGGGGTGGCCCTTGATTCTGGTGTCATTGGGAACAACGGAGCTCCAGTCAGCCAAAGTTTGAAAGATGCCACCCTTTGCATGCTGCCGTACAATGGCTGCGCAGGACAGTAGCTTCGGGGAGAATGATGTCGCATCATCCCCATAGAGCTTTAAATCTCTTGCCTGCACCAAGTATGTTAGTATTCATGAAATCAAACGGTTCCGGAGATCAGTGTTACTCACCATGCATCTGGCTATCTCATCCGATAATTTTAGGGCCTCTGGATTGCCGTGCTTGAACTCTGTGAAATGCTGGATGAGCGATTCCACAGCCATCAAGGTGGTGTTCAGAGTGTTGTTTGCGGTTTCGGAAGCTGTCATAGTTGTATTTGGAAAAGCTGATGTGTCGTAGGTAATATACGGCAGGGAAAGAGAGGTAACTTGACAGATCTGTGTTCAAGTCTGGCCATTTATATCACAATGTCGGTTGTGGATGTTTCCGAGAAAGTGTCATTGTGGAAGCACGGTTGTGTGGCATGGGTGTGGTCAATGATGCAATAATGCCACAGCTTCCACCAGCATTGTCTCAAGAATTGCCACAGACTGTGGTCCACATCTCCAATCAGTGATCAATTATAACCATTTCCCAGCATTCATTGCAAACCAAAGCATCATGACCCGACAAGTTCTTTTTGTGACTCCCGATTGTTCAGATGTCGGTGGCATCACCACCGGGTCTTGTGCTGCTGAGTATAATACATCAATAAAATGTCCAGCTGGAGAATCTCGTGTACAGGGAAAAGGTCCCCTTTGCCATTCAGGGCGATTTGTCCCAGTAGAGTTATGCACGCCTCGGAGGTTCTCAATGACATGCAAATGATTGGAAGCTTATCCCGAGATTAAAGTTGAGTATACCGCAAACACACTGTACAATCACCGGTGATCGCACAATCTTGATCAGTTTCAACAAGGAATGTCCCGCACACTGTCACCAGATGCACTATGTATTGCAAATGCTGCATGATATTGAAAAGTGTACTGTCCATGAGATAGCTAGTCTATGTACAACTTCATATGCCGGGATATCAAGAAATTGGCTGGAAAGTTGGATTTGTCTTTATGAAGCTGGCTTGTGCGTGTTTGGCAAGTTCTTGGTACATGTGGGCCTGCCGAATTGCATAACACTTGTGCCCCTCCGGGAGTGCATCGCCATTCGATGTGAGCCTTGTCAACCACATGCTTGCCTTGAAGAGGAAAAACTCCAGGGTCCAACCCATTTCATGTTCAACGAGTATGAGTTCTTCCTCCCACCGGTCACGCAATGCTTTCATGCAGAGCCAATCCGGGATATCAAGAAATTGGCTGAACTTCCGCCCACCAGTCACGCAATGCTTTCGTGCTCTGGACATAAATTGATTATCTACTTCCGCACATTCCTTCAAATTCAATATGGTATTATTATTATTCCCGACAACCCTCCTGAATGTTTGTGATCATGGCATCCAGTGGTTCCATTATGCGGCGGTGTATGTCTAGCAAACGGTACATTTCAACAAGATCTTCACCCACTTCTGTCACCCTGTTACGCGCTTCTGCATACACACCAAACAGCCTCCGGTTCGCCATTAATGTGGTTGGAACTGTGTTGCACCCAGGTCACCGGTAAGCATTGTGCAAGTCAGAGAGACTTACCAGGGTCATTACCGACCCTTTTCAGCCGCTGGACCACATGGTGCATCGACTGCCAGGCCTCTTCAAATGCATTGCTTTGCGATCCGCAACTCGAAGACGATGAGAGTGCTGTATCATTAGTGACGTGTCCAGCAATATATCCGGAAAGATTCACATCCAGTAGATGACGTGAGGTCGATTACAACTGGTTCCATTGGCATGTCCTCAGGAGCTGTCATGTGAATAGCAACACAAGTGGCATGTACGGAACATACTCACACGGAGAAGATAATGTAAGGCCGATGACACTTGTTCCACGCAAGGTATACCATAAGTCGCCCCATCCGCAATTGTAATGGTCTTCTGATGCGGTGCTTGAGTCGTCTGTGGTCACCACCAAACCATCATCTGTGGTCACCACCAAACCATCGTCTGTGGTCACCACCAAACCATCGTCTGTGGTGCCGAGCTTCCTAATATCCATAGTGAGTGCTATCTGCATCTCTTCTATGGTAATGCCAGATGCAATCCATGTGACCGCACCCCGTTGTGCATTCCCGCCCAAATAGGCTCTCTGGGAGGACAGTAAAGCTAGCTCTCGTTGCTTCCGTGTTGGTGCTTGTGAATTTAATTGGTTCTGTGTGGCGAATGTTAATGGAGCAGAGACTCACCCCACCGTAACTGTACTTCGAATATGTCCATAGCAGATGGATCGGTGACTCCACATGAATGAGCATGTCTGTCCTGTTCTTCCCACTTTGCGACCATGTCTGGATCAGCGGTGTTGTTGAGCTTCTCGAAAGCAGCGCTGCTTTCTGTGACACCCTTAATGGCTTCTTTATACTTCCGACACAGAAATCCACCTGCATGATCTCATCAGGAATCATTCACCAATATGTTTGCAACTCAACTCATGTGAATCATCTTCATGAAATTGGAGTCATTCATCTGGTAATCAAGACACTCCTGCTGGTGGGGGGTGGACATGCCTCTAGCAGTGGGAGATAATGATATCCAGAGGTGCCCACAAAGTCTCCATAATTTCTCCGTCGATCTGAGCTGCCCAGTGATAAATGTCAATGTGTACCAAACATAACACTTGTCTTGATGTCCGTGGACATGCCAGAGTCCAATTCCCGGTATAATCTCCATGTCGGATGGGACGTTCAAGTACAGGCTCTTGTTCACCCGATGCCTGAAGTACTTGTTATACTGGCAATTAATGTTGCAAAATGTGAATGCTTGACTAAGTCCATCGGTGTTGTGGCCCAATGCGTGACATAAGGCGTAGTCCATATTCATTTGTCTAATCGCGGATGTCACCCCGAAATCAACTTTGTGTGATACTGAAACATACCTTTCGCCCTTTTGAAAATCCACAATGGAATGGGGCACGAAACAACTGTGGCAGGCACAGGCACACCCTCCTATCCTGGTAGCCTCTAATTTGTGTCGGGACGCATTGGCCTGGTTGACTGCTTGGTGGTTGTTGCATTCCGACAGTTGGACAACGTCGTTGGCAACAGCTAGATGAGCCTTGTATCGGTCTTTGGCAACCATGAAGCATTGACTGTCCGTCAACCAGACTTCATCTTCCGGATGAGTGGGATGAAGGTGCTCTGCTTTGAAGTTGCCATCCATGACCAGTGAACGGGCATACAACCAACTGGGATCATCAACATTCCTATCAGCCGGGAGTGGAGCATTGATGCCGGGCTGGCAGGCAAGCCGGGCAAAAGAGGGCGAGTTCGCCGGATGTCGGCCTTCTTCGCTCATAAGCAAACCCATTCCATTTGAGGAGCTTCAGTGTCGCCATTGCCGTG